TGATATTATTAGGAATTAAAGGAGACCTCTGTCACTCAGTGGCATTGATGTTCCATCACACCTTCAAGGTTTGCTGTCCCCTTGGTCAAGAATAAAAGTAGGTGTTTTTAATTTTGTTGAGGAAAATGCTGAAGGTTTATTAAGAACAGAACATCTTAATGTGTATTGACGTTATTCAGCAATTGTTAAGTGTGGTACAGAAACCACTGGTGGATTTTGGAGTTCTTTCGGAAAGTGTATCGACTAAACTTGTGTAACTATGGTCATGTCAGTACCCTCATGTCAATACCCTGCTTTAGCTCTTGACTCAAATTCATGTTTTTACTGTGATTATAAATCTGATGTGTGTCTGCTTGTGCCTCCCACTCCAGCTGCACACTGGTTTGGTTGGCATGTACAGTTGTTTAAAGAGTCTTTTGCTATTCTATTTTTTTAACTTAAAATGAAAACCAAACCTATCCATATTGTGCTGAAAAAGAGTTTAACATTGCTAGTATGGTTTCATTCTGGAATATTGAGGTTTAAAAAGTGGTGGAGGAAATAAAAGCTGATTTTAACATGTTGAGTTTTTGATAATGGTAGGATATTCAATTAGAAATACCATTAGGCAACTAGAAATATGGTATTCAGGAGAGCAGTCAAGGTTAGAGACACATTTAGGAAGTCATGGGAATATATACATTCTGCAAAGCCTTTGAATGTACCCACATTTAAGCTATTAAGAGAAGTGTGACCAACGAAGGCTACAAGGAGTAAGTGACCAGAGAGGTAGAATGATAGAGGACAAGGATCTGGAAAGCTTTTAGAAAGTTATCATATGCTACAGAGTACTCAGGTAATAGCTAACATTGATATGGTGTTGAGTTTCAAAGTATTTTTATGTGTTTGATCTCATTTGATCTTCCTAAAAGATACATGAAGTAGGCAATATATGAACACTAAGAACTAACTACTGGGTTTTGTCATTAAAATGTCCTTTTAAATATTACAGAGAGCAATTTCTTAATTTAAAAATCTCCTGTGTGTAAAGAGCTCATGCCTGCATGCTAAGTCACTTCAGTCATGTCTAGCTATTTGTGACGCTATGGACCATAACCCACCAGATTTCTCTTTCCATGGAGTTCTCCAGGCGAGGATACTGGAGTTGGTTGCCATGCCCTTCTCCAGAGGATCTTCCCAACTCAGTGATTGAACCTGTATCTCTTCCTTCTCCTGCATTGGCAGATGGATTCTTTACCATTAGCACCACTTGGGAAGCCATAAAGAGCTCCTACCAACTGATAAAAGAGTGAAATTTAAGAAAATAGGCAAAAGATATGAATTGTCATTTTAAAATTTGAGATAGCTCTTGAAGGGCTGCTGATGCTGCTAAGCCACTTTAGTCATGTCTGACTCTGTGCGACCCCATAGACAGCAGCCCACCAGGCTCCTCTGTCCCTAGGATTCTCCAGGCAAGAACACTGGAGTGGGTTGCCATTGCCTTCTTCATTCAAAGGACTGATGAACTTATGAAAAAATGTTAAATACCGGAACAAAAAGATGCAAGGTAACCCTCCCCTTCTTTTCTTGCAGATGTCAGAAGACACAGATAACACTGCAGGAAAAGAAAATGTAGAGAAGCATCTCCAAAAAGGTTCTCAATAAGTATACCATGGCTCTGATGCTTCTGGACTTTATTTTTTTAAGAGATGACTAATCCTACCCCACAGTTTCGTTTGGGAACACAGTTTCTTAAAAGATGAGTTCAAACAGAAACTAAACTTCCTGTATAATATTTAATATGAGTAGGCATAAGGAGATAATGGTAAAGTCAGTGCATGTAATAAAATTAAATTTTGTTTCCTCTCTTTTTCTCTGCAACATGGAAAATCTCCTCATAATTCAGACTGTGTTCAACCATAAAGATACAGAGATCTAGAACATGCTTCAGGAAGCTTCAGATCTCAGGAAGAAAGATATATAAACAATGGTTTATCCCTGCTTCATTCATCTAGCACATATTTATTAAGCACCTACTATATGCCATGTGTCATTCTAAGTTCTGGGAATAGAGTATAAACAAATCAACTAATAATTTTTAAATTATATCACAGAATACTGCAGTTAAGAATGAAGATGTTTGGGGACTTTCCTTGTGGTCCAGTGGTTAATACTGCACTTCCAGAGTGTATGGGTTTGGTCCCTGGTGGGGGAACTAAGATCCCATATGCCTTATGGCCAAAAAGTTAAAATAAAAATAAGAAGAAGGTTCTCATGACCTATACTGATTTAGCTTTATGCTCACCGTTTATTTTCACCATTTTCTATTTACCATTAAGTGCTCAAAGGCAGGGAGAAGAAAAAGAAAAATACAAGGCAAAATGACCATTAGGTCCTCCATTTTCTGTGCCTCGGACCACATGACTCCTGTCCTTCTCAGTCCATTTGGTAGATCATCTGATGGGTGAATCAAAAATAATACATGGCTTAGAGTGCACTCAACAGCTGGAGCAGTCTTTATACTCAACAGGATTGTTTCATTTCTTGTAGGAGCTGGCAGGAATTGGGGTCAGCAGTATTATACTGAATTTTCAAAACTGACATAAGTGGTTAAAAATGAGTGCTTGAAGACTTACCTTTCCTTTTTTCAGATTCCTTCCTCTTCAGTTTAATCAAGTTGAAGTGTTGATATTTATTTATTTTGTAGACTATAGAGCAGATTATATAGAATGGCTTTGATATTTATTTTGTAGACTGTCTACAATTTATATAGAATATTACTGTTTTCATGGATTTTTTTTTCCTAAAAGGAAAAAAGGTTTCTCAGCAATTTTTTTTTTTTTTTTAGCCTAACTGCAAAATTCAGTCCTGGTCATGCATGACTATTCCAGATGAAAAGGAGGAAGGTTCTAACTCTGTTTCCTAGATTCTGAACTCTCATGGGACAGTGATTTGATCTTTATAATTGTCATGATCCAAAGAAATGCATATTAGTTAGCTATTTAAAAGTACTCTATTGCTGTATTGCTATTTAGTTATACTTTAAGAAAGTGTCATGAGCTCTGTATTATGTTGGCTTCTTGATAGATTTGAATGTAGAAGAAAATCGAAGCATAATAGAAACTCTGAGAAGCAAAGTAAGAGAAAAGCTAAAAAATGCCAAGGTAATGTTCATTTTTTTGCTTTCTTATTTTCAAATTTACTGTTTAAATGCAGCATATATCATGGTGAACTTTTCTTTGTCAGAAAAAGAGCTAAAATTCAGTTTTAACATAACTCCTTAAATCCAAAAAGCTTTAGATTCTTTTCCCTGCTTTTTTTCCTTCAAACCTAAAGCCAAGAAAAATTAAGTGATTTACTTGTGGTCACTATATATGACATCTCAGGAGAGAACATGTGTATACTTTTTTTAAAAGAAAAACATTGAGAAGTCTTTGTTTTTATTCATTTTTGGCCAACGACTTATGAGCATGATTAAACCTATATCTGTTTTCCATACTCTTCATTTGCAGTGTGTTTCAGATTAATCAAGGTGAAAAATCATCAACTCAACTGCTCATTGATAATAAGATATATCAGTGGTCTAAGGTGAATAGCTCTTTTTTAACTTTTTAAAACAGCTTTATTGAGATGTACTTTACAGAGCAAAAATTCACCCATTTTAAGTGTACAATTCAGTGAATTTTAGTAAACTTACAGAATTATGCTGTCAACACTATAATGCAATCTTAGACCATTTTTGTGACTCTTGTGCCAGTTTTCAGTCACTCTCTATTTCTACTTGACGTTATTTTTTATCCTAAAAAATTATAATACAGTATTTTAGGTGATCCCTGACTTACAGATTTTGTTCTAAAATCCCATGTGTAATCATATATTTGAAACTTGAAATGACAAAACAACTCACATTTTGAAAGAACTGTGTTATTTAGAGTAAAGGCAAAGCAGCTTTAACAAAAAGATGCAAACTAAAATATCTTCTTTAAGGTAGAAGTTTTAGTCCTCTTTAATTTAACAGATAAGTAGTCCAGGCTGCTAGATGGAGAAGGACATGGCAACCCACTCTAGTATTCTTGCCTGGAGAATCCCATGGACAGAGGAGCCTGGCAGGCTGCAGTCCATAGGGTCACAAAGAGTCGGACAGAAGCGACTGAAGTTGGACTGAAGTGACTTGTATGTACACACACCAGGCTGCTAGGAGAGTTCTGCCTCTTCAACACTTGGTTTCCATCCCTGAGTCCAGTGGCAAAACTCCAGGGTTTTCATTTGCTGGCCAAAGGCAAGGCAGGAGGAAGAGAGCCATAGGATTGCAGATTGATCTCTTGCAGGACAAGACCTGCAAATTTCACACCTTATTTCCACTAAAAGAACATGGGTGCATTGTCTAGATATCTAGTTAAAAGATTCTATTATTAGAGATAGGAAAAAAGATCATCATGAACAACTAGTCATTTTGCCATAAGCAATGAGAGTATTAAACCCTACAAACTTTAAAATGCAATGATCATTTTTTGGGTTTTTACAAAATTCATGTGTCCTCTTTGTAGTGTCCTTGGATTCTTAGTACAAATTATTTTAATTAACTTTAAAAGTAAAAACAGACTAAAGAAAAGATGTTTGTATATATGTTATTCATTCAACAAATGAATAAAAGTGTGCCTA